GACCCTTTTGGATCTGAAAGTCTGGAAACTGAGCTGTGTCCATTTGATATAGTGGACTGACATGAAAGAGTAGGGGCAAGAACATTAATTTTTGTGGGTTGAGCTTGAGCCTCCCTTTTTATTCTGAGAGGTAATTTGATTTAATTATTTGCCTTTAAGGCAGAGTGTTCTTGAATGACAAAAATAATTAAATAAAAACAAGTCAGTGATCTTTGTGCTAGTAAGGGCATATGAATAATAGCACTATGACCCACTGGCAGAGGAGGGGTAGGGGAAGAAGAAAAACACTGGTCACTGGGACTCACTCTTCATTGGTCATCCCAGAGCATCATGTGGCCACAGCTCCTTTTTAAAGATAAGTGCTCTTCTCCTGGAGCTCATGATATTCTCCAGTCCTGCATTTCTGTTTGAACCTGTGGAAGGCATCTTTCTAGCCTGACAAAATGTGCGACCACTTTGTGGGCACCTGGAAGCTCCTTTCTAGTGAAAACTTTGAGGACTATATGAAGGAACTGGGTGAGAATTGTTATTTCAACTTCTTGTACTTCTTGTATCTGGAACAGGGAAGGAATGCCAATTTTGAACTTTACTCTTTACTTGCTTTTTCTGGCTCTGCTGTTTATCAAGGGGGGTTTAATCCACTATTTTGATCAAATAGTCTTAAACTGGAGAATTCATCTGTTTTAATAAGTGGTGTTAAAATCCTAAAAAGCAGAAAAACTTTCATTGATGGGAATAATGTCAGGTAAGTCAAGTCTATGCATGCCTTATTAGTAGTTTTATAAATGGAAGTAAAACACATCACTGGATTATTTTGGGCGAATTAGCTTTTATCCTTGGACACGCAAATTGGTGTGATGCTAGAAAGCAGCAAGTTTCCTTATGTCTATGAGCAACACACCCAAACAACTTTAAAATGCTACTGGATTAGGGCACCAGTTAATTGCCATGGCTCTTATATTGAATGAAACTCTGTAGCTGCCTCCAGTGAATATTAACAAAGACAATTGCATGGATTCATGCAGATGTTTGCAAGATTTGATGTCTAACACTTTTTTTCTAAAGGTGTAGACTTCTAGCTTAGAATTAAAATTGGGATTTAAAAGGTTTCAACATTCTGTTAGTGTGGAGGAAGCAGGGGGTAACTTGCACCGATTCAATTACTACATGCTAAAAACTGGGGGGGTTATTTACAGTTTAGGGGTAAAATACTTACTGTGACTTATCCTGACAGCTTTCAATGAGTGAGACTTGCACTCTTAATCTTTACTCCAGATTTTACTCAGGACATAACAATTGCCAGCTATTTCTTAATCATTTCCTTATATTCAACCTACCCACTTGTAAATATAAAAAGCTTGCTTTTTTTTTCCTGTTTGTTTGTTTTGTTGCTTTTGTGGCTCAGAAACTTGTATATTTCTGCTTATTTACATTTAGATACAATTAGCATACAAGTTAGTGTACAATCTACGAAAGTTATTCTGAACAAGTCTATGTGCAAATATCTGGCATTCATATAATGTCAGTCTTCAAAATATTGTTTTTACTATTTTGACAATGACAGAGAATTTCCTTACATCAACCTACCCAGCTTGGTCTATAGCAGTACCAAGTAAGATTTTACAAAAGAATCTCTGTAACATAGAATTATTAGCACTCAGAAAGCTACATGGGGAAAAAGCACTGAGAATTTTTTTCCCAACATATAAGACAAAAAGATTAAGATAAAAAATTCATAGTGCCCTATCTTATTTACAGGTGTGGGGTTTGCTACCAGGAAGATGGCTGGTGTGGCCAAGCCTAATATAACTATCAGCATCAATGGTGATGTGATAACCATCAAAACAGAAAGCACCTTCAAAAATACAGAGGTGTCTTTCAAGCTGGGTGAAGAGTTTGATGAAACCACAGCAGATGACAGAAAAACAAAGGTGAGTCCCAAAATGGCATTTTGCAAAAACATCTCTCAAAAGGGATGTGGGAGCAGCAGGGCAGAGCTGTGATTTGACATCCAGTGCAGAAATGCTGCCTCCACAGGTAAGGCTGTTGAGGGTGCTTTGTGCTTAGTGCTGTTTGGACCTGGAGAGTTTTCTCCTGAGACCAGAGCTCTCTAATGAAACAGCCACACTTTGTTTTTTTACTTTGGTAGAATGTCATAACCCTAGAGAACGGTGTGCTGAAGCAGGTGCAGAAGTGGGATGGAAAAGAGACTATCATAAAGAGAAAAGTGGTGGATGGGAACCTGGTGGTGGTAAGTTAATTTTTGTTATTTAATTGCTGAATTCAATGTGCAGAATTCATGTTGAGCTGATGGATGCCTTTGGATTCAAACACAGGGAGGGAAAGCATCTGAAAGGGCTCTGTGCACTTGGTGAGAAGTCCCTCTGATTGAGTCTAGAGTGTAGGTTAAAACTGAAAAGCTGTTAAACTTATGGAATGGTATGGAGGTGCCTGTTCTCCATAGCAAGACATGGCTGGGAAAGCGTAGGAAGAAAAACCCAACATCCCTATGAGGGAAACTATATATTTCAGAATCTGGAAGTCCTGGACAGTATAGAGGAAGCATTAGCAAAGCCCACATTAAATAAATCCACTCTATGCTGATGCAGAGTACTGCTGCTCATCTTCAGCAGAGCCTTAGAGCCTTCTGTGGGAATCCTGCCACACCATCACCAACAGCTGTGTTGATAATATGATGTTAGAACAAGGAAACATGTCCAAGCTCCCTTGGTTGGTTTTATCTGGTCAGAGACTATTGTGCTTGACTTGGTGCCAGTAAGGCCTACATACAGTCTGGGGCTTCCCAGCTCTGCTCTATAGTTTTAGAAAACACACTTTGAAGAATCTGGGACAGGACTAAATCTATGTTCATAAAAGGCAGCTGAGATTCCTACATGCTGCAAAACAACACACATACACAAAATTCCTGAAGAGTTCTGCCCTCCCCTAAGGAAAAATAATTATATCCATAAATTCAATATTTAAATTCCTTTGGATAGAGACCAGAAGAGAAGAAATATAAATCATTTTTAATAACAAATTGCTTAAGAAAGAGTGAACAAAACAGAGTTTGATCTAACTGAAAAATAGATGAGGACAGAGCCTAACATGCAGAGGCTGACACCTGCAGCTGCAAGTCTGAAAGCTCTCTCTCTGTGTGTGCATGTGTTTTACTCACATGTGTGAAGACAACCACAAAAGGTGAAGGAAAAAAAGGTTAATGCCCAGCTCCAGGGTCCAGTCAGCCTCTACAGAAGTCCTAGGAGACTTCTTTAGTGGTGTTTAAGAAAAGATGATAAAACTCCCAGAGGTCAGTAGATCAGGTCTTGAAAATTCTTTCACTCCTGTGCTTGTTTCAGTCTTCTGTTGCTGAAGCTCTCAAAACTGAGTTCCACTCTTTCAGCAATTGCCTTTAGAGGTAGAGAAATGCAATTTTTTCTTGAACTGGTTCCCAATAGATATGTAATTCTCTACCTTCTGACTAACAAATATTTAATAAGAGTTAAAAGCTTACTGATTTATCTTTTCTTTCCAGGAATGCACCATGAATAATGTTTCCTGCAAAAGAACTTATGAAAAAGCATGAAGAAGCCACCTTCACCCAGGACTAATGCTTAAAGCTGGAGTAAAACAACTAAACCAAAGGAGAAAAGCCCCACAAATATGTTTTAAAGAGAACTGTACTTTTTTCAGATATATCCCAAAGCAGTTACATGCATTTAGTCTAATTTGTTGTGCCTATCCAATAAAATATTCTGCTTTCTACAATGTGTGCTTATGCTGGAATTTGTCAGAAAGGGGTTTAGGGGCAATGCAGTGTGGGGAGGGGTGCTGGGCAGGAAAGCACCATGTGAGAGCCAGGGCCACTCTCAGCCATGTCACCCATGTCCCTGTGGAAAGAGCATCACAGCCAGTCCAGGGAGTGGTACTTGTGTCACAGTGACAGACGGACACCTGCACACTCATCTGGGGAGCGCTGCGGGTGGGCTACCCCTGCAAGGAGTCTGTGCTCAGCCAGGGGAATGGGGCTGCTCTTCTCAGCTTCAAGCAGAGGTGGTTTTCCTGGGGCAGGGAGGATGATCTGTGGATGCTCAGTTTTGGCTTCCCAACACGAGCGGCGTACCAGGCACCTCCTCTGTGCACAAATGCAGACAATTTTAAACCTGGAGACCATTTGAAGCAGCTTGATCTTATCCTTTATTCACCTCAAGTGTGAAATTATAACAGTTAGAGCTTTCACCTGTGATCATTTTGTCAATATGTCTGTCTTGATAATCTCACTTTGACCTAGATAGGTTAAAAGCTTGGAATTAATAATCATAGCTTTAAAAATACTCTGGCTGACTAAAAGTCTGTACAATTTTGTTGCTGGTACAACCTCCTTTATTATCTACATGCATTTTCTACTAGCTCATTAGGCTTGATCAGTCTTAGGAACATGAGCCTTTCCAGATGCAAAGCCCTTTGGTACACCATGTTTTTCAACTCTGCTTATTTTTGAACTCCCATTTTCTACTACCCATAGGCCTGGTATCCTATTTCAAAACTTTGCATCTACAGAAGCCATGATTTCTACACCTGGGAAGGCTTAAATTTAAGACATAAAATATATCGAGATTTCTAGAAGAAAACCTGGACAATAAGTATAAAAATATGTGCCTTAATGACTAAATGGGGAAATGACCATTTCTAGAGCAAATTTCACATATTCCTGACATTCCCAAAGTCAGCTGTCAGAGGTGATGGTGCTGAGTCCCTACTGCTAGCAGCAGAGACCTCTCACACACTTGAACTTTTCACTGAATTACCCAGGTTGTTTCCAAGTTTTTGTACTATTTATACAACAGGATAGGGAAATGGAAGGACTTTTACATCGTACATGAGCTGAGGAGCCATTTAAAAGCAATGCCAAAGACCATCAGTAAATTCTGCAGAAAATTGTTAAATAACAATGACCAAAACAAACAATTCCTGTATTTTAACCTTTATTGTTTGTGAAATCTCATCAATTTAGAGAACAGCAGCTGCATATGGGATGGAAGAATGCTTCAGAGTACTCCATATATATACACCACTAAATCTATTTAATACTTAACAAAACCAAAACTATTAATGAGAGTTAGGATACAGCTACAGTTTAATGGTAGAAAATCTACTTGAGAGTGATGGTTGTAAGAAGCAGAAACATTGGCTTAAATAATACATGTAGAATACCTGTAATACATGTAGGCATTAAATATCAGCCCATAGTAGTCTATCATCCACAGATTTGGAAATACTCTGTCAAGAGGTAAAAGTTCCAATATTTCAATATTTATATAGCAGATATTATTTTCCAGAAATCTTACATTCTGAATGCAGCCAACAGTTAGAATTGTAACATAGCCTAATATTTCAGCAGAGGGTAATCTTTTCTAAAAATATCACCATTTATTTTGGTACCTGGTGAATGACTTTGAACTTTGTGAATCAATCAAGACACTTAAAACTTCTGGTTTTGGAAATTTCGATAAAGTGACATTCTTTCTATAAACCTGAACAGGAACAGCATCATGATGAAGTATTAGTGATGCTTTTCTTAGAATATGAACATGTTTGGAATTTAGTCTCTGAAGAAGGACAAAATTTATTGTCTGAAAGCAGCAGCAGCCTAGTGACTGCTTGAATAAATGGAGGTGATTCCTCTCTGTCAAGAAAAGATGTGTGCTCTCAGACACAAATGGAGCTGGGAGCACATATTTCTAAGGGCTAAAGTCAGATCAGTGTCTTGTCCTTACCTGCAGAGCAGCACAAGTCTTCCTCTCTATTCTGTCATGCTGAACTATTGTCCAAAAGTCAGCAACCACCCCAGAGCATTCCTTTCTGCCAAATAAGGATCCTGCTAAACCCCTGCAAACCCATGGGCAGCACAGTTATCACAGCAGGCACCTTGAATGCTAAGAGGAGGAGATCTCTGCCCCTCACCACATTCACTCCCTGCTCCTTTACAGGTTCCTTGGACAACAGAAGGGAAAGGGAACTCACACCCACAGATTTTTGGCAATTCAGCAGAAAGATGAGGAAAGGCTTATGCTGATCATTGATCTATCAGTTGTTTTTCTCTTTTTCTTTTAACTATTTATTTCCATTGGAAAGAGCTTGACAGGCTTTTGTGTTCTGGCCAGTCAAGTTCTGTGTGTGCAGTGCAGTCTGGACTCATTCCCCCAGCCCAGCTGTCCCTGACTGGTTTTGTAGGATGTTCCAGCTAAGGGGACAAGAAGCTATTTGCACCCTCCAATGTAGCTATAGGGAAAAGGGAGGCTGCTGGCCCCATGTTCAGGGTTGATCCTTCAGCTTCACAGAGTCAATGCTAAAACATCCTTGGTGTCCTCACAGCAAGTCCTCTTTGACCTCTGTTCTCCCCTTCTATTTCTGTTTTCTTCATTGCTCCCCTGGGAGCAAATATTTGGACATTTTTTTGCCTTGAATTTGCCTAGATCATATTTCCTTTAAAGAAATTCACATTAATTTACTTTCTGTATTTCTTTAAATAGTATCTCTAAATAATCTCCGAATTCTTAGTTCTCTATTTCTATCAAGTTTTATCTTTATCTCTTCTGCTTTTTCACAATCTCCAAGTTCAATGTTTTAAATCCTGTTTTACATCAACCATAAGCAAAACAAGGGAATCAAAGCTCTCCCTTATCATATGTACTCACTATCCTTGATGCTTTTTTCCCCTTTAAACTCCAAGAAAATATTGGTTTCTACTTATTCCACTTTTTCCAATTATTTCTACTGAGATATAATTCCCTTCTCTTGTTCTTTCTAAACTGTAAGTCCTTTAAATGAAAGTACTGTTTTTTCTTAGTGACAAAGAGATGGATGGTAGCAATGTCAACATTGTTTGAGACTGTTTAAGACTGGGGTTTTGTCTGAATAAATAATTCTCTGTTACTTTTGTTCTTAAGGTTACTGGTACTGCAGTGTAGCTGTTCTAAAATGACTAATTTGCTCTTCTTGGGTTTCTTTGGGCCTAATTTTACAGCATCCCAATCATCTCTTATTTCCCAAAGGCACCAGCCTTGTCTTGTTAAACTGCCTTTATGTGGATAAGCCAATTAAATAAAAGAACAAAGAATGCCTGTGGAGCAGCGGTAGCATATTTTCATATTATTTCTTGAGCAATAACGGATAGTTTCATTTAGAAGTAGTTTTCTTATTTTCAGAGATGGGATAAAAGACCTAGCTATTCTTTAAACAAAATGTGATATTATTCATCTCTGCTTTAGAAGAATTTTGTGTGGACTACACCTTCAAAGACTGACATTTACTTATTACAGATACAGCACCTGCTTCCTATTGTAGGGGAGAAAGAGTTCTTTGCCATGTTTATATTTTTAATCAGTCCAGACTTTTGCTCCCCACACTGAACTGTCATAAGACCTCTGTAGCAAGGGAAGCTCTTTTCAGCTGCTGATGTTATTATTGAAGGGTTTAAAAACATTTGGCATATGCCACCAAAATATGTGACTGAAGATCTTATTTCCCACAACCACCACATAAACCACAGACTACAACAATTTCACTCCTCAGACTCTCTTATTTACCTCTTCCAGTGTGTTCCCCTTCTTCCTTATGACAGCTTTCAAGTCAAGGACCTAGACCACCCCTTCCTTGGCACACCACCATTTCCATCTCATTCTCAACTCTAAACACAAGAAATTTGGTCTCACAACCTATAATCCCAGTGTCTCCGCCCTTAAAATGTAGATATGAAGAGTGTTTATAGTTTTCCATAACCCAGAAGTTAGAGTCATACACAAAAGACAAACAGGTAACTGTTGTTCACCCAAGTTGGAAAGAAGCCTCTGTGCATGTACCAAGAAATAATTTTCCCCAAGAAGATGATTTAGGAGGAGGAAGGACAGAATTACATCTGATGTGATCTTGCACTAAATAGTTTCAGATAGTTTGAGGTGTCTTTAGTTATAAAACTTTAAATTCCTGCCTGTCACATAAACATGTGATTTACAGATTTATTCTTTGTGTCTGTTTTTTACCAGCCATTAAAAAATAGTTTTAAAACCCAAAAACCAAAACAGTTTTAAATGCTGAAAACGCTAATCTTTCAATCTTTCAATTCTGGCTTGGCAGACAATATTCTGGTGGTCCTGGTGCACACCAAGCTGAATATGAATATGGCAGCAAAGGGTGAGTGATATCCTGGGCTGCATTAGGAGTGTTGGAGGTTGAAGGAGATTATCCTTCGCTTCTGTTCTGCACTCAGCAGGCCACAGCTGGGTCCAGCTCAGGGTTCCCTAGCATAAACAGTACATGGACCCAAGGAGGTTGTGGCATTTCTTCATGGAAGCAGGGAAACCTGAGGAAATCTGACAATAGTAGGATAAATTTGAATGCAATGCCTTATATGATTGTGCTGGCTTAAATCTTCCCTTTACCTTATGGCAGATCAACTACACATGTGCAGAAAGACAAAAAGAAGAGAGAATGTGTCCCTCTGTCAAGTCAGCAAAGCTTCTTGCCTCTCACCAAGTGGCTTTGAGCTAGGAATAAGCACTTTAATGACTCAGCCTCTTTTAGTGCCATCCACCTGTCAAGCACGAGAGCTGATCTCCACTGCTGCACTGATCTTCTGAATATGCCTGGTTGTAAAAGGGAGCCAGCGAGTATTGTCTGCTTCTTCTTTTTGTGATCCTGTCTGGGATATGTGCAGGGAAGAACCCACAGCTTGGGATCATTTCTCTGATACAAAGGGAGAAAACAGAACATTATAACTCACTTCTACCTTCAAATGATAAAAAATACAGATCTTTTCATGAAAGTTAAAAAAAAACAAACAACAAACCACTTTGTGCATCAGCTTCTTGACTATTCCTTCACACAATCCACATGGCTTTGATTTACCTGACTAGCTCAGAGGTGACAATAGTGGTTACACTCTACAGCCTCCTGAGGAAGGGAAGTGGATGGGGAGGTGCTGATCTCTTCTCCCTGGTATCCCAGGATAGGATATATGGGAATGGTTCAAAGCTGAGTAAAGGAAGGTTCAGATTTGTCATTAGGTAACACTTCTTTTGTGAGAGACTGGTCATACACTGAAAGAGACTTCCTAGAGAGGTGGTCAAAGCCCCAGGCCTATCAGTGTTTAAGAGGCATTTGGACAATGTCTTAACAACATGCTGTAACTTTTGGTCAGCCCTGGGCTGGTCAGGCAGTAGGATGAGATGGTTGCTATAGATTTCTGTTCTCCATGGTGACAGCAGGACAATAACATTGGGAGGACACTGGGAACTGGGTTTGGTGGTTTGGTAGGGAGGCAGTGCTCCTGTACATGTCTCTGTGTTGCTGACACCCCACTGCAGTGTGCCCTGACTGCTCCATGGGTGCAGTGGCACCATCCCATTCCCATCCCCATCCCCATTCCCATCCCCATCCCCATCCCCACCCCAATCCCCATCCCCACCCCTCATCCGCATCCCCATCCCCATCCC